ACAACTTAACATGTCATTTAAAAGATTTATTCTTTTTATTCATATAAGACCTATAATATTGAATACACAAACTCATTTAATAATATGTAGAAGTTATATACAAATGTTATATAAAAATATTATCTTTCACCTTTTAATTAACCATGGCATCTAATTTGGACTACAAGGGTGCCAATTTGAATTTCCATTAATTTTATAGACGGAGCATTAACGGACTAGACAAATATGGTATCATTTTGAAAATTAATAAACTAGTTAGATACAAAATATAGTTAATAGATAAAATAGATAAAAAAACAATAGCTAATATACTATTTTGTTAAATTTAGTCCCCAAAAAAAAAAACTCTTTTTTTCTTCAAGTTTCTAATCACACGTCCTAAGTCTTGTAATTTTCTATGGTCCAGATAATTAATATAAAAAAATTGTTAAAAATACATTAAAAAATTCCAGTCAATTTGCTTTCACGGTTTCCTTCTTCCGAGGCAATTCTTGACCATTTCACGCACAAGTTCTGATGTCTCTGGGCTCTAAAAACACTGAAAAAGGGAAATTTGTTTATGGTTTCTGTGATCATTTATAGACCCATTTGGTTTTGGTCCGCCATGAGAGGATCCTCCCATCACGCGAGCTATCTGATCAAGATCTTCATCGTTATTACAGCTTCAGCCGGAGCACTCCTCCCATGTCTTGTCCGTTCAGCAATTGTCGAAGATGATGTCAAGTGTCTGAAGGGATTGAATAACTCGCTCAGTGACCCAGAAGGAAAGCTGAGCTCATGGAATTTCTCGAACTCGACGGTCGGTTTTATCTGCCATTTTGTGGGAGTAAGCTGCTGGAACGAACAGGAGAATCGGATATACAACCTTGAACTTCGAGATATGCAGCTGTCGGGACAGGTTCCCGATTCCTTAAAGTATTGTCGGAGTTTGCAGACGTTGGATCTCTCCGGCAACAACCTATCCGGTCTGATCCCGGCAGATATATGTTCCTGGGTGCCTTATTTGGTAGTTCTCGACCTATCAAACAATGAATTTTGGGGTCCGATTCCGCCTGGCCTTAGCAACTGTACTTACTTGAATAAGTTGATTCTGTCAAACAATCGTCTTTACGGGCAAATTCCGTACCAATTATCCAGTTTGGGGAGGTTGAAGACGTTTTCTGTGGCGAATAACAAGCTGACGGGGACTATTCCGCCGTTTCTTGATAAGTATGAGGCGGCGGATTTTGAAGGTAACGATGGACTCTGTGGCTTGCCGCTTGGGAAGTGCGGTGGGTTGAGCAAGAAGAATCTGGCGATTATAATTGCGGCCGGGGTGTTCGGTGCAGCGGCGTCGTTGTTGTTAGCATTTGGGGTTTGGTGGTATTACCATCTGCGGGAGCTGAGGCGGCGGAAGAGAGGGTATGCGGTTGGAAGAGGCGATGATAGGGGCTGGGTGGAGAGGTTGAGCGCTCACAAGCTGACCCAAGTTTCCCTTTTTCAGAAACCTCTCGTGAAAGTAAAGTTGACGGATTTGATGGCGGCGACGAACAATTTCAGTGCGGAGAACATTCTAATCTCGACGAGAACAGGGACGACGTACAAGGCGGCGCTTCCTGATGGTTCAGCTCTGGCGATCAAAAGGCTGAAAAATTGCAGGCTCGGGGAGAAGCAGTTCCGGTGGGAGATGAACCAATTGGGGCAGCTCCGTCACCCCAATTTGGCACCCCTTTTAGGGTTTTGTCTTGTGGAGGATGAAAAACTCCTTGTTTACAAGAACATGGCTAATGGGACATTGTATTCTCTTCTACATGGAAGTGGTGAGAAATTGGATTGGCCAACAAGGTTTTCAATTGGTCTGGGTGCAGCCAGGGGTTTAGCTTGGCTGCACCACGGCAGCCAGCCCCCTCTCCTGCACCAGAACATCTGTTCCAATCTGATTCTGGTCGATGAGGATTTTGATGCCAAGATAATGGATTTTGGATTGGCCAGACTCATGCTTCCCTCAGATCCTGATGAGAGCAGTTATGTGAATGGAGAATTGGGTGAATTTGGGTATATAGCCCCAGAGTACTCGAGCACAATGGTTGCTTCACTCAAAGGAGATGCATATGGATTAGGGGTGGTGCTTCTGGAATTGGTAACAGGGCAAAAACCGCTGGAAGTTGAAACTTCTGAAGAAGGATTTAAGGGTAATTTAGTGCATTGGGTGAATCATCTTTCTGGTTCCAATAGAATCAAGGATGCAATCGACAAGGCTATTTCTGGGAAGGGGCATGATGAGGATATTTTGCAGTTCCTCAAAATTGCATTGAGTTGTGTTGTTTCCCGGCCAAAAGACAGATGGTCCATGTTCCAGGTTTACCAGTCATTGAAAAACATGGTTGCAGACCATGGTCCCTTAGACGAGTTGGATGAATTCCCACTGATTTTCGGCACACAGGGCACTGAATCAACGTAAGTTTTCCAAGCAAAACAACAGGAGAAGCCAGCAAAAGGGTAACATTTTCATACTGAATTAGTTGATTTGATCCCAAACATCTTTTTGATGTATATGGTCTGTGAATCTCCATTCTCTAGCTGCCTTTCCTCATTTGGTTATACATAGCTGTACTATACAATAAAAAAGTTAAAATCTGAAGGTTCTTGAACTTCTAAGAGATCTGTTTCCTTCCCCTTTGTTTGACGTTGAATTGCAAATGATCAATGCTCAAAGATTAGCATTCCCAGTATGTTCCTGATGTAAGCCCTCTAGAATATCATATCAAAGATCCCAGATGCAGATGTTCATTTTTGACATAAGGTTTTGGGAATCTATAACATTACTACTATAATGAATTTCTGTAATTCATAACCATTTTTCAATGGATAACATGCAACTGTATCCTGCATTTTTGTTGATGCTTTGACCTATTAGTTTATACATTAATGCTGGATATAAGCAGATGCTATGTTTAGTGGTATTAACTGTTCCACAAAGCATCATAGTGGTTTTATGCTGGTGAGTCCACCTAGTATTGTCTTTGACTATGGCAACAACTGCTGATGTCAAACATCGAATTCCTTGCCACATATTCTTGGTTGCTGATGTACTATATAGCATCCTTTGATTATTTCTATCCTTCCGTGCTGCGTGCGGAACGTTGCTGGTTGATTCTAATTCAACGATTCTGATTTTGGGCGACTCTTGCGCCTTCTTTTGGAAGAGTATTTGCTTCTTTCTTTACCAAGGAATCCATGCCCTATCTTCTGGCCTAGATGGTATCTAACGAACTTTGATTTGATACCATACAATGTTTATTTTTACTGTAAGGGGGTTAATGTTCTAAACACAAGGAAAGTGGTAGTATTTATTGTGCATTATTTGATGGGTTATATGATGAGTAGTACTTCCTTTTCTTTAATTCCTCATCATCTATCTGGATATACAAATTTGATATCTCTAACTTACAATTTTAAGTTCTTAATTAATTGAAACACTAAATTTTTTTTTAAAAGTATCGTTCAAGAGTTTCAGTCTAACACCAAAAAAAAAAAAGGGTAAGGAGTAACAGTAATGATCTACGGGACGATTTTGGAGGATGAAACAGAGGATGACAAGTGAAGCAGTCCCAACAACAATTACCAATTTGACCCTGCTTCCACTTGTCGTCCTCCAAAATCATCCCACATATCATTACTCAAGGAGTAAGGGCTTTCCTGGTTGATTCTCATCTTAGAAAAAATATGGTCAGTTCAACTGAAAACCCAAAGACCAAGTAATTTTGGCCCATCAGACGGGGCATTTGGGTCAAGATTTATCTGATTTTGACTTACGGGTCATCAGCAGAGCCGAAAAGTCTTGGACCATGAAAAATATCCCCACCTTCCTAATTTCACCGAAAATAGTTTCCTGTTTTTCAATTAGAGTATGTTAAATTGCAGAGTAAAAATTATTAAATGAAATAAGAATTCTGTTTTATCTAATAATTAAAGTTTGATAGTTTATAATAGTTTAGATTATACCAATAACTTAAGTAGTTCAGTGATAATCTTTTTTCATTAAAAGTAAAAAGTCTTAAATTCAAATTGAATTATATGCAGATAAGATAAAATAAAGGATAAGAGAGATTGTCTTTTATTATGCAATCAACATAAAAAAAAATCAAAATTACACTATTTTTTTTCGAAGAAAATGATGGTCTGGACCTTGAACAATGGCCCAAGACGGGTGTTCCTACTCCCCATGGCACTCACTGAGTTGGGCTCTTTGGATTTTTTTATTTTCATTTTTCATATTTGGTAATTATTATTATATTTAGAAATAAAATTTATTAAATTTAATCTAAATATAATATTAGTTACTAGTAAATAAATAAAAAATAAAAAACTAAAAACTTAAAAGTCCACTAAACAGAACATTAACATTTCTTCAGAAAATTTTGCTGAGCACGTGATTGGAGAAGAATGTACGAAGCGACTCTCACCTAACTAATACATAGAGGACAACTGACGTTTCCTAAGAAATACGAGAAGAGGTCTACAGATGAATTGAAGGATGAGTTGCTGGGTTGCGAGTTTAAGTACTCGGCTTAAGATCTAATTCCTGGAGACAAATTGAGTACTGGGATCGCCATACTTGTATTCTCCTAACTCAGTTTATTTCTTTCTTATGTTATTGGAATGGAGCTTATTATTGACCTGCAACACAATATAAACTACATCATCTGCCTACAAGACCTTATTTACCAAACTATTATTCAGTATATGGATCCCTTCCTTCAACTTTAGCGACGAAGCATCCAATTTACAAGATTACCAGGATTTGTGTCTCATCATTGCTTTTGGAATGGACAAAGTTATTATTGACTGGATCTCTTCCCGGAGTGGAAAGGCCTTGAGTATTTTGGACGAGTGATGAGCTTCTTGTAATGCTGTCAAGTGGGCACATGGCATCCTATAACTTTGTTACCAACCAAATGAAGAATCTACTCATCTTCGGTACAAGAAGATATATTAAAGCTGTGATTTATAAGTCCAGTCTAATTTCAATTTTCAATTACTAGAGGGAGTAATGTTAGAGGTTAGAAGAAAGTGTCTCAATTTTCTTTACATTTTTGCAGAACTGTTATTTTGTGGACAAGATTATTGTTGTGTTGTGCCATTATCATGGAGGAGCCAAATGGGGCTATATATAAACTCTGTTTGTCAATTAAAAAAAAAATAGATGATTGGTTTGCTGATATATAAAAAGAATGCATGATTTCAAGAGCTTTCTATTCTTCTTGCAAATATTTAGGTATTCCAACCTTTTGTCTTCGTCTTCTTTTCCTTGTATTTTCCTTTATTTAATTTGATTGGTTCTGGTTACAACTGTGAATCTGCGTGTTAAAGGAGCGGTTGATGTGGTGATAGGCTAAAATTCAAACCCTCTGAACTCCCTGATGGCTATGCTACTCCATGAATGGTGGGTGGAGCCGTGGAGTTCATCCAAATTTAAATATGATGCTGATTTTAAAACAAATGTTTTTTTTTTTTTTTTGGTAGAAGATTTTAAAACAAATGTTAATTACTAATAATTGTTCCCTGTCAAAAGAAAAAAAAAATTCAAACCCTCCATACACGCCAACAATGGTGGTGATGGCACAACTCCTAAAAAGTAGTGTAGCATCTAAAAATTTAAAATTTGAATTCTGATAATTTTATTTTTTTTTCAATTACATTAATATGAAAAAAAACTTTTTATTCAATTTCTTATAAAAAATGAAAGAGTTTTTGTGCAATTAAAGACACAAATCTTTCAAAAAACAAGTTTTAATTAAGATTATAATTTTTTTAATATGTGCCTAATGACTCTAATTATAAGAGTAATTATTATATGTTTTTTATTAATTAATATTAAAAAAATAAAAATTAATTTTTATAAAAATAATTATTTTATTAAAATAATCTATAATAAAATTACTAAAATTATTTTATTGTTTAATATTAATTACCTTAAAGGTGGAATAGATACATTAAAAAAACTCCAGTCAACTTCCCATCAAATAAAAAAAAAAAGGTTTAAGTACCATTTTAGTCCCTCAACTTTTCACTTTGGCATCAAAATTGTCCCTCATCTTTAAAAAGTACCAAAATTATCCTTAAACTTTCATTTTCGGTACCAAAACCGTCCTTCCGTCAGTTAAATGACAGGTGGCACGTTAAAATGCCAGCAAATCAATTCTTTTTTTTCTTAATCAATGACATGGAAAAAAAAAAAGTATAGTTGGCCTTTTTTTATGAGTTGGCATTTTTATTTAATTTAAAAGTAATAATTCTTTTTTTTTTTCACCCACGTCAGATTTCTTCTTCCTCTTCTTCCTTTCTCCTTCTTCTTCCTTTCTCCTTCTTCTTCCTTTCTCCTTCTTCTTCCT